GGGGCGTGAGTCCTGAGGGAGGCCGGGGGGCGTGAGTCCTGAGGGAGGCCGGGGGGTGTGAGGCCAGAGGGAGGCTGGGGGGCGTGAGGCCGGAGGGAGGCCAGGGGCGTGAGGCCGGAGGGAGGCCAGGGGCGTGAGTCCTGAAGGAGGCCGGGGGACGTGAGGCCGGGGAGCATGGGGTCCCGAGGGAGGCTGGGGCCTGAGGCCAGGGGAGCGTGAGGCCGGAGGGAGGCCAGGGGGCGTGGGTCCGGAGGGAGGCCGGGGGGGACGTGAGGCCAGAGGGAGGCCGGGTTGTGAGGCCAGAGGGAGGCCGGACGTGCCCTGCCTTGGAGGGAGGCTGGGGGGCATGAGCCCAGAGGGAGGCCTGGGGACGTGAGGCCGGGTTGTGAGGCCGGAGGGAGGCCGGACGCGCCCTGCCGTGGAGGCGGTCCTGTCCCGAGCGGACTCGCGCTGCCCTCTGTAGGCGCTCCCGGGCCGTACCCGGGCTCCCCAACTCGGAGGGGCAGACGTGGAGCTGCGTGGGGCCTGAGGGACGCCCCTCTCTCTCCCCAGGACCTGGCTCGCTGGAAGAGCCGCCGAAGAAGCGCCTCTCAGGACCTCATCAAGAAAGAGGAGGAAAGGAAAAAGAGGACATGAGCACCTGCTGGCCGGGAAGACGGGCACGAACGGAGGAAAAGCATCAAAACCCTACAGAGCGATTGTCCCAGTGGTAAAAATGAGGTCTTCCGTCATTGTTTCTTTTCGTGTTATTTTCTCGCCAGACTAGATGTCTTTCTAATTTGGTTTGGTTTCTACTTTCAGTTTATTTTACTCTTTTTTAGACAGAGAGTCCTGGCGTGTTGTTGTTCAGCGTAAGGTGTAGTCCGTGCGTCAGCTAGCCACAGCAACCTCAAACGTCTGGGCTCGGAGTGAAATCCTTTCGTGCTTGAGCCTACCAGGCTACTGGGACCTACAGGGCATTGCGCGAGATGCCCGGCTAGATTTTTCTTAGTATATAGTAGTGTCTTTGTTATGGTGTTTACCTAATCTGTAGTTGGTTGCCAGTTGTAGTGTGTTCTGTGGAAGTGGTGGTGTGAGTGGAGGTAGGAAGAGAGCGTCGTCTGCTTGCTCAGCTGGCGTTTTTGAACGTCTGAACCCGTTGTGTGAGCTAGCGTCGCATACCAGCCCGCCCCCCGGCTCCTAGCGCAGAGCATAGGATTACAAGGCGTGGAGCCACAGCAGCCGCGGTCTCCCGCCTCTTTTATTTTTATAGAGACGGCTCGTCACTCTTGCCAGGCTGGCGTCCGTCAGACTCGTGAGTTCAAACATCCGCCCGCCTGCGCCTCAGAGAGTGCTGAGGCTGACAGGCGTGGCCGTGCCTGCGCGTGTGTGTGGTGGTGAAATTATTATCATCTATTGTTCTAGTAACTGTATTTTTCTATACAAATTCTTTATTTTACGTCTTTTCTATTTTTGCACAGAAGCTCTCTAGTTCACGAGATGTCATTGAGTTCTTGGATGCATACTGAGTTATTAAGCCCGGAATCCTGGTTTGTCGTAAACCAATTGTGGTGTGCAAGAAGGCTCGTAACAGCCATAGATTGGATAACGACCTGCCCGTTGCCTAGGTGCTCGAGTCCAGCCCCTTCCTGCTTGTTCGTAGACAATTTCGCTGGTGAAGAGCAGTTTGTCCCCAAGGTTTTCATGGTAGAAAGAGCAGTTTTGGTCCCAGCAAGGCTTTTTGTGGATAGAAGAGGGCGAGATTTTTGCTCCCACAGGGCTGTTTCCGTGTAGAACAGCGTCTTTTCCCACCAGGTTTCGTGGTGGAAAGCAGTTTGCCCCACCAGCGTTTTTCGGTGTGAAGTACAGTTTTCCCCGACGAAGGTCAATGTGTTGGTGGTATGGACGTATAGCCGTTCTGCTGCGGCCGACCGCCAGGTTTTCGTGGTGGAAAGCAGGTGACAGATTTAGATGCCACCAGGTGTGCTTATGTCAGATTGTAGAAAAGCCAGCTAAGGCATTTCGATCCCAATCGAGGGTCTTTCGTGGTGACAGAGCAGTGTTGTCACGAGGTTTCCGCTGGTGCGAAACGACAGTCTGTCACCCAGGTCTTCTCGTGGGTGGATAGACCAGTGTTGCGCGCACCTCGAGGTTTTTTTCGTGTAGAAGAGCAGTTTGTCGCCACCAGGTTTTCGGTGGGATAAGAAGAGACAGTTCTGTGCCCACGAGGTTTGTCGTGGTAAGAAGCTAGTTTGTTGTCCCACCCAGGTTATTCTCCGTGGTAGAACGAAGGCATTTGTCCACCAGGTTTCGTGGTGGAAGAGCGAGTTTGTTCGCCCAGCCAGTTTGTGTGTGAAGAGGCAGTTCTGATCCCACCAGGTTTCGTGGTGGGAAAGAACCAGTTTGTCCCCAGGTTTTGTTCGTGGTGAGAGCAGTTGATTGTCGCCGACACACGTTTTCGTGGGGTGGAAGAGGCAGTTCTGTGCCACCAGAGTTTTCGTTGTAGAAGAGTAGTTTGTCGCGACCAGTTTTCGTGGTAGAAGAAGCAGATTTGTCCCACCGAAGGGTTGTCGTGTACGAAGGAGCAGTTTGTCACATACGAGATTTTACGTGGTAGAAGAGCAGTTTGTCACCAGGGTTTTCGTGGTAGGAAGAAGCAGTTTGTTCCCACCAGGTTTTCGTGGTGGAAGAGCAGTTTGTCCCACCACGTTTTCGTGGTGGAAGAGCAGTTTGTCCTACCACGTTTTCGTGGCTGCTGACTCTATGGCCATCTCCCTCCCCCCGCCCCGCCCCGCCCTGCAGGGAGCGGAGAGAGAGAGAGCTGCACGAGGCGTACAAGAATGCGCGGTCCCGGGAGGAGGCGGAGGGCGTCCTGCAGCAGTACATCGAGAGGTTCACCATCAGCGAGGCTGTTCTCGAGCGCCTGGAGATGCCAAAAATTCTGGAAAGAAGCCATTCCACAGAGCCAAACTCGCCTTCCTTCCCGAGCGACCCCAACCCCATGAAGTACCTGCGGCAGCAGTCGCTGCCTCCGCCCAAATTCACTGCCAGCGTGGAGACCACCATCGCCCGCGCCAGCCTTCCGGAAGCCGGCGTGCCCGCGGGCGGCGGGTCTCCAGGCAAAACCGCCGCCCCCAGGGCCGTGCCTGTGCTGACGCCCAAGCCTTACGCCCAGCCCAGGAACTCCCAAGAGGTTCTGAAGACCTTTAAGGTAGGACAGGTCCCCACACCTCTCGGGCCGCACAGGAGTCTCTGAGACGAGCGCCAGGGACCGCATGTTTCTGGGCAAACTGCACGTTACTTAAATCATCCTCACTACTTTTCCGATAACTATAGCATTTCTATTTACAAAAACAATTAAACAGCTAATTAAACATTTAAAGTTCCTAGTACCTTTTTAACGTACGGTGCCGCGTAAAACGTTTTCCTCTATGAGGAGGGACGCAACAAAATTTACGTAAGTGCCTAGATTTGCTCCTTTTCCCACGGGCGGCACAAACTCTGCAGGCTCTCGGGGGAAGTTTTTTCTTTCCACTTGCCGGAATGCACACAGGTTCACACTGCCTCATGTCACCTGACAGCCTTCTGGGTGGGTCTTTACGAGGTGCTGTCCTTGCACCCCCAGGGGAAGGGCTGGGCAGATTTGAGGAAACTCGTGAGCGGTCCGAAAGGAATCAGAGCCCAAAGTGCACTCCGGGCAGTCGACGGGAAAGAAGCATCCCGATTCAAGGAAACGCAGTTCTTTTTACCAAACAGAAGCAAAACGTGTTCACGTTTATGCTTGTGACGTTTACGAGCCTCCGGGAGATTTGGTTTGTGGATGCTCAAGGGATGGATGTCCCCTCGATTGCTGCCGTTGATGCTGGCGGGCTGCAGTGAGTGAGGCTGCCGGTCGCGTCACCTCCAGGAGCGAGGTCTGTTTCCCAGTCCGATCTGATGGCCTGGTCTCTCTGGAGTCGTGCTGACAGACCCTAATTTAGTAATGCCCTGGTATTCCCAGCTATCTGGACACGGCAAACTCCGCAAAACAGAATTTTATTTGCCCTGGGTTCAAAAAGGAGTATGTGGAGCTGCCAGTCTTTCAGGAAGAAATTGACATCATAGCCGAAAAGATGCTCCGATAGAAAAAACACGAGCGACACGTAAGAACGTGGAATGTAGTTGGCCCTCAGATGGGACAGGATTGTTTGTGTTTTTGTTTAAGTGGAAAGAAACTGGGTTGTTTTACCGATGAATGTGTAAAGTAATGTTCCAGAACCAACACACTCACGACAGCCAGACATCTTTTCACTTGCTCACGTTTCAGTGCTTTCCACATCTCTGAGGAAGCACACTCACCCTTTGTCTGAAGTTCTCTTAACGATAAAGAAAAATCAGTTCTCCTTGTCGCTGCACACCACGTGAGTTAGTCATAGAAGACAGAGGCAGAGTCCATCACTGTCACGAGAAGTTTATCGTAAAACAGCGTCTGTCACGAAACTGAGCAAAGTGATGCGATGTATCTTCCTCATTGAATTTCAGGGGAACCAGCTTATATGGCTTTTGTTTAAATCAATTTGAATGTATCTTAAAAATCTGTGCCATGGCCGGACGTGGTGGCTCACGAGTGTCATCCTAGCACTCTAGGAGGCCGAGGCAGGAGGATCGCTCAAGGTCAGGAGTTCGAAACCAGCCTGAGCAAGACCGAGACCCCGTCTCTACTAAGAATAGAAAGAAATTAATTGGCCAACTAAAAATATATGTAGAAAAAATTAGCCAGGCATGGTGGTGCATGCCTGTAGGCCCAGCTACTCGGGAGGCTGAGGCAGGAGGATTGCTTGAGCCCAGGAGTCTGAGGTTGCTGTGAGCGAGGCTGACACCACGGTACTCTAGCCCAAGCAACAGACTGAGACTCTGTCTCAAAAAAAAAAAAAAGGCATTTGTAGAAGCCCTAACGTGGAGAACCAACCAAAACATTAGAGAGCCCTTATTTTATTGTTGGACTACGATTACCATTAATAAATGATACTCGTTTAAGGTAATTGTGCTGAATGTGTTGTTTCGTTACCATCTTTGGTTGGGGTATAGCGTGTTTGTTGTCCCTTCTGTGTTTTGTAGGTAGATGGGAAGGTCAGCATGAATGGAGAGACCGCTCACAGAGAGGAGGAGGGGAGGGAGAGAGGGAGCCCCCCCGCCGTGGCACCTGCCCCCTCCTTAACCAGATCCCAGATGTTTGAAGGTGTGGCCACCGTGCTCGGGTCCCCTGTGGAGCTGAAACAGGGCAACAACAGCATCGAGATCAGCATAAAGAAACCAAATGCTGTTCCCCAGGAACTGACGGTAAGAACCAAACTTTTTGTTTCCCTCTTTGGGATAATTCCAGGGTGGAAGAATCTGTTTTTTAAGAAATAAGTAGATTATGATAATGATCATTTCTTTCTACTGTGTTTCCCCAAAAATAAGACCTACCCATAAAATAAGCCCTAGCAGGATTTCTGAGCATGTGCGCCATAGAAGCCCTACCCTGAAAATCAGCCCTAGTGACGGGCGTGGCTATGAAAATTAGCCCTGGTAGTGGGCGTGGCTATGGAAATCAGCCCTAGTGATGGGCGTGGCTATGAAAATCAGCCCTAGTGACGGGCTGGCTGCGCAGCGCATCTGCACAACCCATGCATGTCATCTTGGAGTGGGAAAGAACACGAGCAGCCCTTCTCATCTGCCCTGTGAGAGCTCTAGTGCCCCACAGGAGAGATCAGGGCCGGTGGCTCTAAAGGAAACAGAGTCGCAAGACATTCAGGATGGGATTCAGGGTTTGGAGAGTGAGGATGATGTTCCAGAAGAAGACGACTTCACTCTATTTGAATCAGTGTAGATGGTTGTATCGTACTTAAAAAAAATAACACATCCCTTGAAAATAAGCCCTAGGGTGTCTTCTTGAGGAAAAATAAATATAAGACCCTGTCTTATTTTCGGGGAAACAGTATCAGAAGGAGAACGCCAAACCAAAGGTGGCCTCGTGGACTTTCTTCCTGGAAGCCAGCCTGATCCTGGGCAGCTCCCGGTGCGGCCCAAACTGAAGGGAGAGTCTGGCATTCCTTCCTTCCATGTGGTCTTTCCTGGGTGAAACTGCCTGGTTCAGCGTCACATCGAGTTTAATCGACGCCAGTGGTCCTGCGCAGGCAGTGGCTGTCACGCGCCCTGTCTGTGGCATGAAGCTTAAGGCTCTTACGTGGACCACGGCAGGGGCTGCTGTGTTATTTGGGGGGCAGGTAACCGCCTGTATGTGTCCATCAGGATGACAGCAAAGCTTTTCTACCTGGGGCAAACAAGAGTGAGACTCCCTGTCTCACAAAACGAAGTTGGTGGAGGGGAAGGGATACCCTCTAAACCTTGCTAAGTAAAAGGCAAAAGTTTAAAATTAACCAAAATGTTACAAAAACACAAAAATTCACCCTGTTGCTCGGCCAGGTGGTGGCGGTCAAGGATGGGCACATACCATACATTATAAGTGCGACCTGCGATCGTCAGGGGGACGGACACGCTGGAAGCTCTGGGGGGGGGAAAACCCTCCCCCTCGAGGGGGCAAGAGCAATGATACAACCTGTGAACATTTGTACCCCGATATTATGCTGAAATAGAAAAAAAAAAGGAAAAACCCCCTCCACCTCAAAAGGAAGAGTTAGGTCTTTAATCTACACCCCACCAGTAAAACAGCGTGCCACCTCTGGCGGAGGTCTGTTGCGATGGGCGTCTCAATTACCCATATGGCGATTTTCAAACTGAGGCGTGATTTTATGATTTGAAATTTGCTGGCATCAGGTAGGTGATAGCCAACGTATTAAAAACAAAAAACCCCGCCAAAAAACAAACTTCCTAACCTTAATTTAGATCTATTTCTAAAGTAGGAAGTGAGTAGAGCCCATCAATAAATGAGTGATTAATAAAATGGTATATGTTACCCAGCCATGGGAGTATATTCGAGCTATATGAAAACAACGGTTGATCTAGCACTCGTTGCAATTCCTGGGATAGAGCTGGAGCCCATTCCTTACTAAGTGAAGCTATCCCAGAAATGGAAAAAACAAGCACCACATGTGCTCACAGCAAACTGGTATTAACGATCATGCACCTAAGTGGACCACACAAGTAAGCATTTATCGGGTGATTGGCGAGTGTGGGGGGAGAGAGGAGGGAGGGTGTATAACAAACACAACGAGTGAGTGTGCAACGTTTGTGGGGGATTGGGGCACGCTTGAGGCTCTGGGGACTCGGGGGGGGGGCAAGGGGCATTATCGAAAGACCTTTAAAATTTGTTACCCCCTCATATTATGCTGAAATTAAAAAGGGAAGTGATGGTCCCAAGCATTTTCCAATGGAGGGAAGAGGTGAGGGTAGAAGGAAGCGAGAGAGATGACAGGATGCCGTACACAGGTCCCGGTGCGCCCCGGAAGCCTGGCTCTGGCCAATCCCCCTCCGCAACCGGGCCTGGCGCCACCCTCTCAGCGTGTCCGGCCCCACGCCCTCATCGAGGCTCCTGCCCCTCCCTGCTCGGCCCTTTTGCAGGCTCCCAGCTCGCACCGGAGGCAGCTGGGACACTTACGGAGGGTGGCGAGGCCACTCCTTCTGTAGAGAGCGTATCTGCGGGGAATGCAGCTTGGAAGAAAGACGCCATTGACAAGAGGAACACGGAGGTCCTACTTGACAGCCCCCGCAGAAGCGGGCAGGACGCCGTTACGAAACAGAAAGTCAGGTCCAAGCTGGATCAAAATGTGGCCGCCGGGGGGTTCTGAAAACGCCTGCACTGTGTTAAAAGCTAGCCACGGTATTTTTGCAGACCATCATTCCGGTTTTTTTTTGTTTGTTTTTGTGTGAGACTGAGTCGTCATCACTCTGGTTGCCTGGTTCTAGAAAGTGCTGCGAGCGTCAGCCTCGACTCACAGCAAACCTCCAACTCCTGGGCTCAAGTGATCCTCCTGCCTCAAGCCTCCCGAGTAGCTGGGAACTACAGGCGGGCGCGCACCTCGACGCTCGGCTCATTTTTTCTATATATTGTTTAGTTGTCCAATTAATTTTGTTGCTATCTTTAGTAAGACGGGTTCTCCCCTCTTGCTCAGGTTGGTTTCAAACTCCTGAGCCTTGAGCGATCCTCCCGCCTCGGCCTCATTCTGCTGGTCTAAATAAGAGTATGCCGGGCTGTAACAGTCAAGAGAAATGCTTTCTTGGGAAACATGGAGAAGAGGGGAAAAGAAAGGGACAGGTTCACTGGAGAAGCGATCCTTTCAATGAGGACCCCGGACGGACACACGCTGAATGTAAGACGCGCGTGGCGTCGTAAGTTGCAGGTGAGTGTGGAAAGGTGTTCTCGCGGGATGGGCCGAAGTTGCTGCGCGGATTTTAGGTGCAGCTGACAGCT